ATATGTTTCTAAATCTCTAAAAAGGTGATTCACTTGGCATTGTTTTGCTTGTATCTTCCCACTGAGTTTTTTTAAAGACTTCAATTGATCAGTCTGTTATTGACATATATGCATCCTGTGCGTATGCCTCGATATTGCCTTAATTCACAAGCTTTTATAAGCAACGATGGATAGTGGCTAGCAATGGAATCCAGGACGCGCGTTTCGTCCTATTTGAAACTCGTCAGCTGGATGTAACTGTATCTCAGAGTTGATGTTCACTCTGGGACTCGAACTTAGTATCGTTCGCTTCAAATGCCATCGAGTTATCCACTCAGCTACTGAGTCCTGATAGCCACTTGCATGTGCAATGGGGTGAATTGAAATTCACTTGGTATTGTTTTGCTTGTATCTTCCCACTGAGTTTTTTTAAGACTGCAATTGATCAGTCTGTTATTGGCATATGTGCATACTCTAAAAAGGTGATGTTTATAAAATCTATAGATTACGTAACCAAGTATAGAATTCTCAATCTCTACATACTTTGTAACTAGAATTGAACGATTCATTAATCCAGAATTGATTTGTTTTTCCTTCTAATCACAGAAATACATCCCATCGAAACATATGAAGAGGAATCTAATGATGAAATAATCAAATCAGATGAAATGAGTCCAATGACCGATCAATATGAAGGCAAGTTATAAAAATAAAAATGAGGAATTTGACAAGTTTTATATGGTTGTTTTAAACATCTATGCAGAGCATACTTTCGACTACAGATTAACTAAGAACTAATATATTTACACTTCTTGAATGGTACTATGCTTTGCACGACATTGTAAAGTTTGGTTGGGAAAATGTCCACCAATAAAATGTTTCTAGAGTAGATAAAAAAAACCCTAATTCAAATTGAGTTTCCAAGATGTCATTATATCGTAGAGTAAACTAACTACGGATTATTACATTTCCTTACAAACTATAAAAATGAATGATATTGATTCTTACTATAAGAGCATTGTCAAATCTGTACAAGTGATTAATAATAACTTTAATTTAAGTATTACAGATATCAACACATTATTAACAAATAATCAAACTTCATTGACAGAATTAGATTGAAATCAATTCATTTTGCAAACCGTAAAAATTAGTTATTGGGTAATATCTGATCTTGTATGTTATTTAAGATTTTTTGATCATGTTAATGTGATCATAAACTAGATGATACTGTAAAGATAAATGATGGCTAGTAGTGGAATCCAATTTGACGCGCGCTTTGTTCTATTTGAGACTCATCAGATGGATGTACCTGCATCCCAGAGTTGATGTTCATCACTGTGGGACTCGAAACAATTACCACTCGCCTCAAAAGCTACCACTTTATCCACTAAGCTATTGAAGTGAATCATATTGAGTCCGAGTCCCATAGTGAACATCAACTCTGGGATGCAAGTACATCCAGCTAACATGTCTCAAATAGGACGAGACGTGCATCAAACTAAATTCCACTCCTAGCCATCATCCATCTCTGCTTATAATGCTTGTGAATTAATGCAATTAAAGCACATATTCCAATAAGAAACTGATCAACTTCAGTCCTAAACATCAATGAGGAGTTTCGTAAAGCAATACATAATGAATTAGATCATACTGTATTAGTGTACGTTAGATAATGTATGAAAATTGGAATATGATAAAAAGTTAAATTGACTGGACTGTTTACTTTTAAACCTAACAAGCTTTTATTTAGATGGTGTAAATAAGTTGGCTCATTTAAGTAGTATCACCTTATTCTCATGATAACTTTCTGCTTCCTTTAGAAGATCTATTTAAACTTCACTAAATAAAGTATGTTATAGATTTTAGACTGTTTGAAGCTGATAAGAAATAATGAAATAAAATAAATCTATTTCATTCTTTGAACTATATTATTTCTGCTCTATTAAAGTGAAGACATGAAGCTCCTGTGTCTAAGACACTATATATATGACAACTATCTCCTGTTCAATAAGGAAATATAATCGCATTCAAGACATCATACTACGATACAAGTACGTTAAATTCAGACAGGTTTTGGGTCCGATCTGTGGTGAAATGGTCATAGATACACACTGCTGAAAAGTTCTATACTGGAACAAAACAGCTGTTCAGTGCTCTCAGCTTTTTAATGAATATTTAACTAAGATCATTTTAGAATATTAACCAGGAAGTAAAAAAAATAATCAGTTCATTAATTTCTCAATAAAGTAACAATGAAGAGACTAATCTGTTCAGCCTAATAAATCAGCCATGGAAATTTATAAAAATTCTTTTACGGAATTAATTCAGTTAAGATTAATACATCTATATTATTCCTATTCTTTTCAAATATTAAGTCAACAAAATCGAAAATAAAAAAACTTCAGAAGATGTACATTATAACACAGAAGACGAATTGAATATTTTACGTGATGGTAAATTAATCCGAACTTTTTTTTTATAAATTTTATACCTAATTTATAATCATTTTAAATATATTATTCATAACAGTTGGAATTAAGAACAGTTAGGAAAATATATCAATTAGCATTAAATTCCAACTAGTTGGACTTCAAATGAATTTCAAATCGTTCAAACAGTTCAGAGATAGTTTTCACCAAAACAATTGATAGCACCGAATGAACCATTGAAAACTAGTAATTGAGCAGCTGTTTGAATTATAATTTAAGGCTTCCTAAAGATCCACAATGAGGATCCCAAGTGATGTAGCTCACAAACCTTAGGTTTATCAATGAGCCAAAGTATTTTTGCACTAGAGTCGGAACTCAACGGTTCATTTTTCAATATTAAATTGTCAGAATCGGGTGCAATATGTTTTGATGCTATATTTTTCAAGGTGGTCGGTAGAAAACCCTGGACATACATTTCGTGTTAGTTGGCACTCGTCACGAGTGGTAAGACTTAAACTTGATTGATAATTTCAACAATCTCTTAGGAATAGGGAAACATGATTCTGATCACTATGGGTGACCAGTCAGGGTTTAGTTACAACACTTCGAATTCACCAGCTGTCTGAAGGCTAGACATACTTTTCCGAATGTCAACTACTACAAAATCTAGGTCTAAGGTTTCCAGTTGAATCCCTCCAACCGCCTACCATTATTGTTTAGTCAGTTTATGACTCTCAATAATCGTAGGCACGCAATAATATCAAGCCACATGCCGAAAACTGCTCTTCACTCTGTCTTGGTTTTCAATGGTTCTTCAGTTGATTTGAGTTTGACAAAACCAACCTCGGATTTTATTAATCCCTTCTTGTAATATGTTTAGTTGAAAATACCGACTAACACCAATTTTAGGACCGATAGAGACATTGTGCCGTAAGGGACACTAACAATGACGCAATGGTATTTCTGTGTTGATTCAAATCTGGAACTTGAGGTTGTTACATGCTACCACCCCATCACACTTGTTTCTTCGAACTGCATTAAAAATGCTTAGTTTCCCACCCATTTTAGTCTGTTAATATATCCCGTGATGACTTGAGTTGTAGCAAAATCAGCCTAAATACATGTATTCAGTCCTAACCAATTGGAGTTTTCTCAACAGAACACGAGCGATCAACCACATGTTTCAGTCGCCTGATTACTTTACCGACGTAGTTTATGAATATAATAACCTTTTCAAATCAACTATCGTAAGCCTTGTGTAAGCATGGTCAACTTCAATTAAAACGAAGATAGTAGCAGGTTTTGCTCAGTTTTCAATAATAGGTGAATAGTTCCCCCCATGTCAATAAAACTGAACTGTGAAAGTCTTTGCTATGTAGGCTAAAGCATCTATCCGGTTACTGATATATATATGCGACCAATTAGTTAGAACACATCAAGTAATATTCATCAAAAATCTGTAGTCATCACATGCACAGAACGAACTTATTCAAAGAAATACATCACCAATTCTCCTAACCCAATGAAAATCCTTACAAGCTAACACTTATATGGATCCTTTCCGATCACTTTCAAGAATTAAATAACTTTTAAAAACCGGTAACAAAAACACAGCTATATTTTACTGAATTATTTATTCTTATTTATCATTCAATAAAGTTTTGACAGTAACTAAGAATAACAATACATATTCACCGTCATAATTAAATTCCTTCTCGTTCTAGCTCAACTTCTGGTTTCGACCATAATCAAGAAATCGGAAATGAACTTGATGCTTTTTGAAAGTCAACGTAAGTCAGTCGTAGTAACAATTATATAATCAAATGAAAACCAATAATTCCGTAGCTTTGTTGAAAACCATCTTTGATTAAGCACGTACTAGTAGTACCACTGGTGATTCAAAAATTAGTGCACAACTTTGCATTTATTAGACGCGTTCTAATCAATCGTATAAATCTGAACTTTAAAATACGCACAATCTAATGAGCTGTGAAGTCATTTTTCACTTGGGGTATGTATGACCAACGTAACTGACGATATTCCTTGACACGAATAAAACTACCGTACAGCATGTCTTTTCCAGAAATCCTGTCCCCAAACAAGTGAATTTGATCTATTTGACATGAGCGTTGTAACTTGGCATTAATGTTTTTACGAGCAACGACACAGATGCAATCTAGTTCTCGAGGCCTCTAGCTGATGCTGATTCGTGATAAAAATGAGAAATCTACAAATGATCACGGTGCAGAACGTCCTATTTATTTATTTTATTTAAATATATAAATATTGGTACAAGGCACCAAATATATATATACGCTGCACCATGTTTTTGTGTGTGGGCTGAGATACTGCTCGGGTGCCCAGACCGAAGCAGGTGGTTTTCTTAGGGGGCCACACCCCGAGCCTTCGACCTAAAGGTCTAACCCACAAGGCAGTAGAGCATCGTAAGGAGATGCAGTCCCATGATAGCCGGTGACCAACGATTGGTTCATACGCCATTTGTTCCCTCAGGCAGAATACTGGAGCCCATGTGCACCATTGGTTTTGGATCCGGTTATAGCGCCGGACATTCGCTTTTCGTCCTCTCAATTTCGTAAACAACACCCCCGCCACGAGAAGGCAGTGAGTAGTACTTCCCTGGCAGAGGCTGTATACGCGTGGCCGTGTAAGAGCATTTAGAGGAGAGCGGACTCCCCACTCAGGGCCATGCAAAGGCATTTGGGGCGCAGAACGTCCTAATTTACAGATAACATACACTAAGTTCAGGAAGCAATACAAGAAACCTTTTATCACTAATAACAGTATATATTTCTTTACCTGTTCCACGAAATACTCATAATTCATATGCAGATAGAAATAAGACATGAGTCACTCCTAAACGACACATACCTTTTATTACTTAATAGATTGCTTGGTTAAGTTGAAATCTATGGAAATACTGATGGTAACGATAATTTAAATGACAGTAAAAATAAAAACTAATGACGTTTATGTTTTGATGATGAAGTCCGAGGTTTGAATAAAGCTAATAATTAAACCACTTGCGCGGAAAAACATATCAAACTATTACTTTACAATGTTTACTGCTTCATCGTCAACTTAGGAGAAATAAGATTTAATGACAAATGAACCTGGAAACTAATGCCACAAATCAGAGCAGAAGTATACACAAAAGAAACAACATCCAGTCCTAATAGGTGTGAAAGCCAGTGGCAGTATGATTGTTCAAAAAAATAGAAAACACGCAACAAGGACACAGATCCACTGAACAATTACCGTAAATTTAGAATCGTAACCAAATACAAAAAATATAGCTCGAATAACTCAAGACTCCTGGAGAACTAAGTGCATTTCAGAAATAAGTAGTGTGTAGCTCACTTCGCGTCATTATGTGGGGATGAACATTAATTTATTTTTTTTGCTGATTAATTTCAGGTTAATTTATCGCGACTACAAGATGATTTCGCCAAACTATCAGTATTATTTTTGCATACTTGAAAAAGTAACAGAACCAATACAAATGCAGTTCACATTTCTTTTATTCAATTATTTCTATATAGTTCCTTTGATGTTATGAGAATACACATATGCAATAAAACATGCAGAACGTTTAAAATAGAAAAAGTGGTTATTTTCTTCTAAATTTTATAACCTAGCATGTGAATTATCATGAATCAATGTGTACTATGTGGACACATTTTGAAGAAATTTGTGAATGAAATCAACCTACGGGTACATAAACAAAAGTTTAATGTTCGACAGCTCAGTATACAATAAAGTGAATAGTTCTCTTTACTAGTAACGAAGCATTACACTAGACGGCTGATGTAATATTAAATCACTAAAATGATTAACAAAAGCAGTCTTTAAGCACAACATAATACCGCTAAAAACGAGTTAGCTCAAATTAAGTGCCTCAACAAATGCAGAGAATGAAATGTGTCCCTTTAATACAGTCTATCCAAGCGAACGACGTGAAACAACGATGACTCATCACACTAACCAACTTTCATTATCATTTCACTGTATTGTCCAGTCAGAAACAGGAAATCTTATCAAACAGATATACAAATGAGAAAATAAACACTTTTCATAGAATCAATATGTTTGCACAGAAACTGCTAGAACAATGATAAACAAGCTTGATTTCTATAAACATAAATCAGTGACGCTATAAAATCCTTTATGCCTTGAATTTGTACAGGGAGTTGTTTCGGTTTTACGGTTGAAAGTGAATAGTGACGGTTAATGGATCTAGACTCCAGGTGGTGGTGGAGGAGGGGGCGGATTAGGTACAGAAGCTGCGTAACCTCCCGCATAACCTCCCCAGTAATCGGTAGGTGTGGGCAAATAGTAAGGAGGAACCATTGCCGTACCTAAAAAGAAAAAGAAAATCTTTACAGCAAACACTAACAGAACTCATACTAAATAAAGAGGCTGAAAAGTCACATGCAAAAAGGTGTCAACTATACCCTTACCAAAATATCACAGGTTTAGCAGCCCGGCGTAAAAACAAGACCAATCTTTACACATATTATCTGATTTTGAGAAACGTATCGATACTGTTACCGAAACGGTCAACATTATAACACCAATTTACGAAGCAGTTCTAAACAATTGAGTGGCATTCGCAAGCGTTTCTTTTATGCAATACATAAGAATTGAGAGAAATATTCCTCACTAAGTTCTTACGTAGATTAGTGACTTGAAAGTTAATGAGTTTTAATTGATTTACGTCAAGAACAATAGTTAAAAATTTCAAAAAAGTTTATAAACTACTATCATGTTGCCAACTACGTTGAAATGCAAGTACTTAGTTGCGATGACTCTGTACACTGTTGCAAGTAAATTCAAATTATTTAAGACTACTTACCGGGAACAGGTACACCAGCTGGCACTTGTGATGAGCTATCACCCCAAGAAGCTGATCCAGGGACGGAGGGATGCCAATGGTTTAATGAAGAACCACCATTTGTTGCAACTGGCACGTCGGGATAACCTCCTGCAACTGCGGGGACTCCGGAAGTAGGATACGCGGCAGTTGACGGATATCCAGGCATAGGTGGTACGACTGCAGGAGTCGCCCACGGAGTAACAGGTGTCACCATAGGTGCATATTGAGAGGGAGGAGGGGGTGGTGGTGGCAAAGCAAATGCATACTGGTTGGGGGAAGAAACTGTGGTTGAAACGGTCGAAGTTGTTGTAGCAGCAGTACAATTTGTTCCTGCATCTCCATCGTCGTCGTCATCATAAGCTGCAACACCAGGAGGCGGGGGCTGACGAGTCGGGCGGGCAGGTTGTGATTGTAAGGGATTAAAGCCTCTAAGACCTGAAAATAAGACGAATGCAATAGGAGCACTGTGAGATATTGATAAATCGCGAAATTTAAATGAGTAGTCAAATAGTTCCTCAGTGAATTTTTAGGTAATATAGGTACACTTCCAAGAACCGAAGAAAAAGTACTAGAAGTTGCACATTTTTAATTCTGAGTGAGATCTTCAGGAAATAATTGGAAGAGTGGAATATTTCTGAATACTTCGTCCAGTAATAAAACCTAGTGCTAAAGAAAAATAGCTACCAGTCAAATGAATGTGATCACTCAAAAAAACCATCTTTTTGGACAAAAGATCGTTTAGTCGGTCTGTTAGCCTTACTTTCAACAGCATTAAATCTTCAAGAATCTGTTCAACCTCTTACTTTTTAGTAGTTGAACTGCAATGATATAAAAAATAACACTTATCCTATACCTGTTGTGAATCGTTAATTGTTAATATATTCTGATCAGGGTACCGAAATTCACAGGATAGAAGCTAAATAATGCTTGACATCAACGCACGTTATTTCTACAATTCTTTATTACTCGAGTTAAAAGTCAATAATGTTATGATGTACCGTCGAAGCATCCACAATTTTGATAAACGATTTCAGAATACAGATGTTGGACTTTATTTACTTTGCTGTCAGATTTTTCACCTGAGCTGTTAAGAAATGGTATATAGGAGAGGATAAGTGATATTTCTCTTTAGTTAGATCCTGGGTACGATCTAAGTGCAGATAAGATTTCGATCCAAAATCTGACGAACAGATGGATAAATAAACTAAGATTTAGAAATGAGAACAAATTAACTAAATAGGACAATGGGACGTTATTTCTAAAAACTAACTTTGATAGAACGATGTGCTTATTCGCCCAAAATACTTCGACAACTATTCACTTAGATTCTATATTTAGAGTTACATTTACTATTTATCCAATGTCAGTCTCAGCATAATAAATCACCAAATTTTCTGAAACCTGTCAACGAAGAATAAATGAATGGTAACTGATAGGAATTATTGATGGACCATCATTACATATATTCTCGTTGGATAATTACTAAATAATTAGATTATATATATTCTTTTGGTCCCAAGCTTATATTTGACCTATTGGTTACTGTTATACAACTTACCATTCTTAAATTTTTCCCAATTCATTAGTTACAGTATCCCATACTCACATCAATTTTTGGCTCGATCTTGTATAACTGTTATTTTTAATTTTATGGTGATGCGGTCTAATCTGCTTGTATATAAACCATGTATGTCTGGAATAAACGATTCACACAGCAAAGGTTAATGTTCACGTTCTGGACTGAACGGGTTTGGTTAGGCGATAAGCTATCACACAGAGAACCAATAAGGACTTAGGGTTGACACAAGGTAGCTGGTGCTGTTTGACACATCACTAGATCAGCAGGGGCAAGGTCAGAGAAGTCGAGTTTCCAATTGGTGGTTTTGTTACGTGATAGTTGCCGGGCCATAAGAAATAGCAAAACCATAAATGTTAAAACAATGTATAAATCCAACACAATTTCCCGGAGTTACTCGCCTGACTATTATAGAAAAACAGCTATTAGAATGAAGTTTTTTTAATTATCGTAGTTAATAATGACTAACACTAACATCTGTTCACCCCGAAAGATTATGGTCCAGGTTATTAAGATACCTTATAACAGCATTTAGGAATGAAGCGAATCCAAATTAAATATGCTCCTTCGTTAAAGACTGTTAGCTAGAACCTTAATGTTGTATTAAAGCTGGCAATTGGGGATATTCAGCTTCCTATTTTAATCGATCTCTATTTTGGATGTAATCACTTATATCTTGAACTCGTGAATTGATTTCGAAGTTCAATTTCTATTCAGATTTTTTCCCAACTTAATTAGTTGCATTTCACGTCAAAAAATTGGGTCGAACTCGTACTCGTCTGGTTCTACAAACCCATAAACAACTATTTTTAGAATTAAAACCATACCGGGAGGCAAACCTTGCGAACCACCTACACCGAGCTCCGCCATTAATGCAGTATATTCGCTATCCATTTTGGCTCTTTCACTGGGGTTGGCATTAAGCTGATCAAGATATGCCTGACCACCCAACAGTGCTTTACAGTCGGTTGACAGATGTCCAGCACCTAGAATGGAAAATAAACGTCAGCTAATTACCAAAACAAAGAATTTATTTTAAAAAATGAGCACTGATAGCTATTGGCAGACAACCTGATGTTGGTAGGTAGCATCCTAGATCCACACAGAAAGTGGAGTAGAGCGATTCTGTAAGTTGTCTTTATGATATGCTTAAAAATTCAGAAACCAATAGTGAACGGATTTTTTTAGGCAAACCGTGCTCTAAATAGGTGACAACTAATTACCCTACACGGTTCGACATCTATTTAATATAACACAATTGATAGGTGATTCGAAAATATTCTCATCAAGTTTGATAAAAACTTATTAAGAAACACGTAAACGAACGTTTTGAAAAGAAATGAACTGTATAAGAAGTTTTTACTTGTGATCTACAGATGATATCAGACCCTGACCGTTGTTGCTACCTTGACGTGGTGGTCAGGTTTGCCTATCGCGATGAAGCAACTGAGCTATACTGGCTGGAACAACTGTTCCTCAAGGTCCTACCATGCCAGACAGGTTGATTGAAGAGCGGTAAGACTAAAAGCAACAAAACCAAGATCCGAAGGCGAAGTCGTACTGCTGAATGTACAGAGGTGTGACAGCAGTAAGGTGTTTCCTTCAGACAACCAGCATAACAGCGATGCTGCCTTCCCAAAAGGTAGGGTGGGGTTAGAAAAGGTCGACCCTAAAAATGCACACCTCGCCTTATCCCACGGATATCCGTCTCCAGCGGTAAGGTTTCAACAAGAACGGAGCTAACACAAAAATTACTCATAAAAAGGTCGTGTGTGACCGACCTCAAGCAGCTGTCCCTTGGGCACTGCGGTCACGCTCTCAGGTCACTATGACCACCTCTAATCCGATTTCCTTTTCAGGTACCTCCGGCAGAACCCTTCCACTGTGTGGGCAACAGGGAAGTGATAACCGCCGTCATACCTCTAACAGCACTCAAGACCACTGTATTCATAATCAACCTACCTCTTCATAGATGATATCAGAGTAAATTTAAGAACATCAAGTAGCTAGACGTTTGAGCTCGTGCATAAACACTATTACTTTAGCAATACGGTCGAACGTCTTATTAAAGCGACATACAAATTTAGAAACTGTGGTGAAAATGGCGCAACTTGTGGTAATCACATACATAACTTTCCACGAACTTTACAAGACTACATTTTCCTTATACTAAACTATTAGAACACAACCAAGATTATCGACAAAATGTTCTGTACGTTAGCCAGTAACCAGAAAACACTAAGAAACTATTATAAATCCATCCACGTAATAACTGATGTAACCTAGGTAGATGAGAGTTAGACATTGGATGCAGCTCAAGCGAACTTACCCCCACATATACCACATTGGATTTTATTGGTAGCAATTGACTGGGCTTCGGCCATTGCACGTAGTTTCATCAAACCTTCGTGCTCCCGCAATGTCCCATTAAGTAAAGCAAGCTCGCGCAACTGGGCTCTCCGAAGATCGTTTTGGCTTTCTGGTATCTCAATTCCTTGTCTTATTATCTCATTAATTTTTTTAACTGCTTTGTCTACACACTCGGCCGAAGGTGCTGAGATGAAAGCGTGTAGAGGCTCGTCTTCACCAGGTAAAGGAAGTCCGTCCCTCCTTCCAACCTTGCCTTCTTTAACGGAGCCCTTTCCGCGAATTATTACTTTTGCGCCCGTCTGAAGTTAAAAGAAGTAAGAAAACGCTAAAGATAACTTTAGAGTACTATAAAACATGAAGCTTCTAGGATTATAAACGATGCATGAAAATGAAATACAAAGGGAATAGAACTAAATACGACAATGACGCCAAAAGAAATCAAATTGATTCCATAACATATTCTTGATATTTTGCTTGTACATTATAGAAAAAAGGTGCAAGGATTTATAGTTTCTAACTTCGTATCACAACCCCAGAGTTTTCAGAGATCATCAGTGGCTAAAGACGTTATCAGATATGGCTCAGAATAGAAGCCAGTGGCGATCCTGCTGTAACCTTCTTTTACTTTCTTCATAAAAAGCGGCTGTATCCTCCTTAAATGTAAGATTTCTTCTAAGCGTACCTTTTCGTCTCCCCCCATTATTGTTCTTTTTTTTATTTTATAATTCCCTACGTTCCTTACTTTTTTTCCCTTCCTAAATCCTCATTGTTTTGCGTGGCGCATATATATTTGGTGCCCCCCCCTGTACCAATATTTATGTGTTCAAATAAATAAATAAAATAATTGTATCACAACTGGACACGAAAGCAGTTAAGGTTTCTTATGTTACTCAGTATTTATTACTACACTCATTTCTTAATTCTCCAGTCATAAATGTGATTTATTCGGTCAGCTCTATTGCTTGAAGACTGTTTGATAGAAATTTGAGCGTATGAATTTGCTCATTACATTACTGTATAACACGAGTGCTATATCCCAATCTTGTGGTCAGTCATCTACAACGTAGGACCAGGCATATATATACATCGGTTCGCGTTGCCGAACCTCATTAGAATCAAATTCATAATGGTTACTTCAATGGTAATAATATACCACAAAGATTGCATATAAGGATATGATAGAAAGAATTTGTTCGTAGAAATAAAAGTTTATTTATTTATTTAGGCACAAACATTGGTACAGGAACACCAAATAGATATGCACCACATAAATCATTTGGTTTTTATGAGGGCTGTGATACTGCCCGTGTGCTGAAGGTGGCTTTCTTATGGGGCCACATTCAGAGCCTTTGACCTAAATGCCTGATCCACAACGAAGTTGAGCAACGTAAGATGGTAGCCAGTGATCAACGATTGGTTCATAAGCTATTTGTTTTCTTAGGATCCTGGAGACCATGTACACCATTGATTAGAAATCAGGGTTTTCCGATTCCCCTAGATGAACTCTCCGTGTCTACCGACCCGATCAAAGCGCCGGACATTCGTTTTTCATCCTCTCAATTTCGTAAAAAAACACCCTCGGTATAAAGTGACGTTAATCTAACGGTTTAAGGAAAGACAAAGTGTATGCACCTACGCCATCGTTATTAATACTGTGCCAGGTCACTCAGTCTCCAACCACTGGTTATGATAGTTGTGCGGAACCGAACCAAGTAGTTTGCATTTACCAACATGACTCAGGCTAGAAGTTAGTGACTTGATGAACTGATGCCACGTTTTGGTTTGGCCGCCCTAACTTTCACCTGTCCGTCTCCAACACTGGTGATTATTGCGCGCCATGGTAGTCGATAGCTGGGCATGAGTAATACGTGGTCCGACCATCTCAGTCGACGAAGACTCACAACCTCATCAAATGTTGTAATGTAAGCAGATTTGAATAGCATCAAACAAAACGACTGCACATTTTTAGATACATCAGCATGCTGAACTTCTAAACAAACAACACTGGACAACATTACTCGAAGAATTGAAAGACTTGATAACGTGGATGAGGATGAGATAGGTAAATATTGACCACCCCTGGTTTTTCACGATACAAACCAATAAACATCTTGATAACTTGGTTACACTTGGTTACGTAACTGACCCCGAACAAACTGGTAAGGTAACACTACGTCTCAAGAGCCACACCTTTAAAAGCTTAAACAAAACCCATTACTTTGTAACATTTTGACCTAATCGACATTTTACCTCAACAGAAATAACTGTGAAGACTTGAAGTAGGAAATTCTGCACAATAGCTTTTTTAACACTAGTAGATGCTACTCTATAACTACACTGACTAAATCCGGAAGTTCGTAATTCTCATGTGGTAAGGAGACCGCTATGTTTCCCCTTAATGACGAAACTTGTTTGAGTAAAGGTCCGACGAATTAACCGTGTAATGTGATTATCTCTAAATCATTTGGTATCGGCGCTATAGAAGAGATGAGCCCCCAAATGCCCTGGTATCGCCGAGAGTGGGGAGAGTCCGCTCTGCCTCTCGAAATGCTCTCACATGGCCACGCGTATATAGCCTCTGCCAGGGAAGTCCTACTTACTGCCTTCTCGCAACACGGGTGTTGTTTACGAAAATGAGAGGACAAAAAGCGAATATCCGGCGCTTTAACCGGATCTCAAACCTCTGGTGCACATGGGCTCCAGTATCCTGAAGGAACAAATGGTGTATGAACCAATCGTTGGTCACCAGCTACCATGGGACTGCATCTCCTCACGATGCTCCACTGCCTTGTGGGTCAGACGTTCAGGTCAAAGGCTCGGGGTGTGTCCCCCCAAAGAAAACCACCTGCTTCCTTTTGGGAACCCGGGCAGAATCACAGCCCTCACACAAATCAATTGAGATTCGTATGGCGCATATGTATTTGGTGCCTCCGTGTACCAATACCTATGTGTTAAAGTAAAATAAATAATAAATCGGCGCTATTAACGTAAAAATTTTGGTGATACGCTAAAGCTTTTACATGAGCAGTGGAAAATTAACGACACTCACTGAGGATAAGCGGTTAAGAAAACTCAACTGCTAACTCGCAGTGTCACCTTATTGGGATGAATTATGACAAATCACGTAACCTACTCCACTCCTTTAAACGCTATTGGAAGGATTTCACATGTGGAGTAGGAAATCGACCAACTGAATTGAACCTTGTAAGCGAAATTCGGGTTTATGGAAAACAGTCATGAGTCATCAAGATGAGGAATGAAGTTAGATACAGCACCGGAACTTTCGGACCGAAAAATAACGAAAAAGCACAAAGCTGGCACTAACAAATATGTTTACGCTTACAAAATGACTTACAAGAAACAAAACTTAACAACGCAAGCGACTTACATCTTTTTCAAGTGCCTTAAGCGTATTCCCACGCGGCCCAATCAAGAGCCCGACGAAGTTGATATCCGGGTGGTTGTCTTGCGGGATAAATACTTTGTCAGTTATTCTATTCTGCGGGGCTCTACAAAGTTATGATTATCAAAGAACTAGTACTTGTAGTCAGAGGGTGGCTTATATTCAGGATTAATTTCCATAAGTTGTTGTACAAGTGCGTGACGATCATCCTCCAGCTTTTTGCGGGTCCTATATTCCCTTGTGTTTAAGCGCTTACCGTCGCTGCTATATATGGGTTCCGGTGAAGGAGATCTGAAAGGGAGAACATTTGTTAGCATAAGGAATCTTGTTGGGGTCAATTACCAAAATATTAGCTTCGTGAACCCTTACCCATTAGCTACTTTCTGATCCACAGTAAATAAGACCAGCTATATAATACATTAATTCTAAACAAGAGTGTTAGTTTAACGTGAAGTCTATACCAACTAGTCCAGACTATTCTACACAGAAAACTTTCAAACAACTTTACAGCACAATAACCAGTTCAACAAATAAGTGAGATCTACACAACTGTAAAATATACAAATTAAAAATAGCTAACCTGTCTTCCGGATTTTTGGGGATGCCCAAATCTCCACTTTTCAAGCGTCTAGACATATCTTCGATTTGAAGCTGAACTACACAAACGAGATAAGCCAAAAGATTTCACATACTGATGTACACTCTTTCCTGCTGCGGTGTAAGATTTGGAGGCAGCTGAGTAGGCATACCAGGTATAAAAATCCGATCTGTTTCAACTGCAGACCATCTGCTCTTACGTTTTCGCGGAGCTGAATCTGAAACAAATTAAGCCAGAAGAGATTACCTAATCCTACCTGGAGACTTTTCTGGCGATCTACTGCGTCTACGTGACCGCGAACTCGACCCATCAGTTATCGCAAGTATACGTTTACTCATGGTCTGCAAAAATGGCTGCCGTCAACCTTGACTCGGTCGCACTATTCGACATCTGCCATGATATTTCAAACAACTAATTTTTCGAACGAATGAAAATCAAGGTAAATACATGATTGAAAAGCCGTCAGAATGACTTATGTTTTCGGGCATTATGATAAAGCTTTAGTAAATTTGACTTTAAGAAAACACGTATGCATTATGCAATATCTTCGCCTAGAGCACTTACAAACCGATTGATTTAGTTTCGCTCGATTCTCGTTGTTTCACTATGGTTTCAGATATTCAGTATTGTCCAGCAAGTGGTGTTCTAGCCACTTGAATACACTAATTCTAGTAGGTTTGGTAGTTATTTGTGGATTCGTACATCTTGTAGTTTCGTAGTGTGTGCTACTGATGTCGATAAATATGAGTAGTATATTTCATAAATAGAAAGTGAAGTACCTGGTGGTAGAGGGTTAAGAGGATCGAAGAAAAGAGAACGAGAACAGAGAACGATTGCTGTCGTAATGAAGGGACAGTGAAGTTTGAGAGGATTGATTGATGTTTTGCGAATGAACTATTTACTGTATGGTTCTCAAATTTTACTAAGATGTTCTGTAATTTTGTGTACAAATACGTTTGTAGGGCCAGTGGAATTCCACTGAGCCCAAGCCGAATCATCCGGTAGTCGGGTCATTGAATATCGAGCAAATCATCGATCCTCGTCAATGTGAAAGACAACCAACACGCATCAGTTGATTGTACGCCATGGACTGGCCCATGTGGCGGTGGTTTCACCTTCGCTTGTATCCAATTTAGCTAACATATTTCTGTAATAACGTCCTTTGTGTTGTACAGTCTTCAAAGCATCTATAGTACCTTGATAAGTCAATGGGGTAATTCACGTATGGTGCTGACCACGAGGTGTGACTTCGATGCTAGCTGGTTCGTCACACCATTCCCGCCTAACTCGAGTAGGCTTCCGATCATTCGACATAGATCATCTACGTTGGTGATCTACGCATTTGTTTGTCCCCACTTTTGTTCTCGTTCACTACATTTTAAGCAAGTGCGTTTGTCTCAGGGCAGTAAGAATTCTGGATACCAGCAGCTATCACATTAGCAGGCAGGAGGTTAGTTGGCCTCAATGTGAAAATATCAAAGTAGTATTTCGAGTGTTGAGAGATGATTGTTTCAAGAAGAAATAAATAAGTTATTTAAATGGTCATATGTAAGTACAGTAAGAGAAATGGAGATGATAATAAGACAGATAAGAAATTGTTATTGGTATGCAGTGATGATAACCGTGGTAATCTATAAAACACGCAGGGGTGGACCTTAGATTACTCCTTGATAGATTCCCGATATTGAGATCTAGGGATAGAGTGTTGAAAAATGCAGCTAGCAGTATTTGATCGAACCCCAGGTATGGTATCGCTTGCACTATACCATTCTTTTGGGATTTAGAACCTATGAGAGCGGGCCGGTATATATCATCAACCAAATGCTTTGTGCCGTTCACGTTGAAAGAACATGCGGATGATTCTGTCACCTCAGTTTATTTGGTACCGTTTGCTGTCGCGCCCTTGAAGTGACTGTCAATGTATATCGCAGATCCACCTGTTTTGTGTAATGTTGCATCCCAAAATTGCCATGACTTGCAAACTCACTTCTTCATCTGTCGCCCGGTTTTTAAGGAGTTTTTCGTTTGAACTGTGTTGGCCAGTTCTGTGCAAACTCGCCTCTGTATGCTTTAGCCTAAATGGTACTTCCCGTAAACAGAACCGTAGTCTCTGTGCTTTGTACTTATGGTTGCTGATGAACGTCAACCGACGCCAAACTGTTTTATTGGGTTTCTTTGCTATTGCCTTATCGATCTAGATGTACTTCCACAATGTCGGATGTCATTGAAGAGGTTGTTTTTTAGTTGTTCCGAGCCTCAATTACATTTCGGCTTCTGAATTTCAAAGCGATCAGACGTGGGGACTTGACAGTCGTGAAGTGTAATGGATGTGGTAACCTGAAGGTATTAACTGTTGTAGTGGCGTGAGGGCCCATGCTACAAGATAGCCAAAGAGGCTGATGCATATTGCATTCATGGGCTTCATTCCGACTGCTACCCATCAGCATAGACACTTCGTTAGCCACCATGAAGGTTTGTTCTCGGACGTTCACTGATCTCCCAGTGGCATCTCCTACAGCCCATGGTTTATCGCTTCTAACTCGGATTTGGGTGGTTGGCTTAACCAATGGTCCCTGGAATGTCAGGACAATTTCCTCTGTAACATGTGTTTACTCTAAAGTCACGTCTAATGAAAATGGCTACCTTGTTCTAATTTATGGCTCTCATACAGATTGCATATTTTGGATAAAGTGATACCTTTTCCCGGCACTGCACAGGATTTGTCCCACTCCTCCTCGTCAAAGGCTATTCTACTTTCTAATAGGCTACTCTTCAATATTTGGACATTGAATAAAATCAAAGAGTCTTGTCTAACGTTCTTGTCTCCCATGCTTAGCGTTTCGTGAGGTATTACTTTGTTATTTCCCTTCCCAATACTCACCTACTACTCCTTATTGTTAGCAGGTATGGGATATTATTAGTGGTTGGTATTTTTGTTGGCACACGGGCTCGGGTTGTGGCTCCTATAGTTACGCGCTTGGCTTAGCCTGTGTTGGGCAAAGGTGGCATACTGGTGGGGGTAGCTACGATTACTTTCTATGGGATCTAATGATTGTCTTTAGTTAGTTCTGTGAGTATGTTTTCCCTACATTGTGTGGAGGAGCACCAGAACCGTGAAGAGGAATGACTTAACACGAACTCTTAGTACTGCATAGGCACAGCAGTATCACAGCAACAGTGAATCCACACACTGCAGAAATTACATCGACATTCTGAGTCCGTGGCTTTAACGATAGACGATCATGTGACTGTATAGCACAGTCTGTACCGTTTGAGGTATTTTGTATTGTTGATATAATTTGTACTATTTCCTAAATTAGAACCGTTTAAATTTAGCACAGAGTTTGTGTTTTGGATATAATTTATTAGGAGTGTCTCAAAAACGCTTCGAGAGTTATACAGAAGAGTGTAGTCTGGCCTATTCGAATACATTTTGGTTCGTCAGTCCTGCGTTCAAACCGAATACTGGTAGTTCGGTCGTTACATTAGTCCTTCATCAGATTCTTCTAAATGTTTATACTTTGTTTGAAAATCCATAATTTATACTATAGTGGTTCGGATGATTGCATCGATGCCTTACCTACAATTCATATTTTGTAACTGGTAAGCTTGTAAAATGACACTTATGGGAAGTGTTTCCCTACAGAATGTGAAACATAGCGCATCGTGTAGGTCATATTACGTTGTCTAAAATTAACCACAAGAGAGCCTAACATCACAAAAGGAGGAAGGTGGAATTACTGACCAGCAAGCTTTGATAGTGAGAGTGAAAACTTTAATTCACCCATGTTTGTGAGACGAAATATTTTGTTTAGTTCAGGCTCTTCATAATTGAGAACGAGGCAAACAATCAGTAATACTGAGTTTGTTATCCTGTGCTCACTACCCAGACTCATGTTTCCAATTTTATGCTGGATTTGCCCTTCTACTAAGACAACCTTTAACAAACTGACTTGGTCTCTTACATCATGACCTAGTGACTAGGACTGGATGAAAGAAATGAGAACGACGGAAAATATCACATAACATAAAATGTATTAGTATTGGCGTTTCTTAACGCCTTACATCGACAATCCCTCCATCATTGGAACCCACTCCACCTTGTTACACACTACAACTCACTACTATTTATTGGTAAGTTGGTCATTTATTCTTTGAAGAAGTGACGTACATCAAGTCACGAAACGTCAGAACACTTAATTTTTCTACTCATTGAGGTATTACAAATATATTATTTACTTTTTTATTTATAACAATCTACCCAATACTCAATTTATTTGAAACTCAAATTAACTCCTAATAATGATACCTACATTCTTTATTAATGTTCAGTTACCTGAAGACTCATTAACCGCATCCCATTATATTAATCAAAGCTAGTATGACAGTTATCTACTAACCTACCATACCTCTGTCTGTTCCACTACAAACCGCTAAGAACTGCTGAGGTTTTATATCCAAATGCCTTGCGGATTCCTTGTCTCTCATTTTTTGCACCACGTCTTTAGTGAGCAGCTATGGAACTTCCTATGCCTGCAACAAACTTGATAGAGCTTAACGTACATGTTTTATTGCTTTTATTAGTTATAAATAAAGTTCACGACTTCACTTTCAGAGTTCTCACTCTCAAACCATACAGAATTACACAATAAGAAGTGATTACACTTATTTTTATCGGATAGCCAAACAATCCAGAGACTACCCCCAGATCAAAACAGTACCCAAAGGGTCACGTGTTTACTCCTTACGATACCTTCAAATTCTGGTTGGCCACAACACGGTGGATGATGAAGTCTTAAAACAGAGACTTACTCAGTTGGCACAGGAATATCGATACGGATGCAGCAGATTACCACTGTTTTAATTATATTTGGATACATTGTCAGAAGTTGATGGTTTGGGAATCTTTGATGTTTGTTGATTTATATTGAAACTGGATTTGTGGAGCTTTTTTGAACATTTTAATGGGTCAGTCGCCGTGTAACTTGGAAATAAACCCTGATTTCTGTTTAAGATCGTCTTTTGTGAAATTTGAAAAATAGGTTACTAAAGTTCATCCTAAGATTCAAGATTGTTTGTTTGTACGTTAGCGGGGAAACTTTCAAGAAGTCTAACGGAATCATAATCTTCAACTTTTTCGTTATTTTGATTTGCTTTCGAGCAGTTCCAGTTGTTCTTGGATTTGATTAGGGATTTCGGGATCAACCGCCGTATTATTTGACGAGTTGTATTTTGGACACAAACTTACGTATTTGTACATGAGTAGACGTGTATTAGTAGTATGTCTGATTTCAGTAAGCGACGATGGAGTGTATCTAGATTTTCGGTGAGTGATATTAATATTAATGACACCAGTGTCTGCTAAAGTGACAGTTTTCCTTGTGAGCGCGGAAC